ATATGGTAACCCTGTCTCGTACCATTTTAAGAGCTGCCAGACGATCTGCTGAGGTGGCGGCGGCATTTTACATTCCCACCGCCTACGTGTGGTCCCGATTTCTCCGCATCCTTGCTAATACTTGTTACCTGACTTTTCTATTCCAGCCGTCCTAGTAGGTATGAAGTATCATCTCACTGTGGTTTCAATCTGCATTTCCCTGATAGCTGATGATGCATAGCATCTTTTCGCATGCTTATTGGACATTTGTATATCTTCCTTAGAGAAATGTCTATTCAGATCTTTTGCCATTTTTTACTGATATTAATAACTTACATATTTCCAAGGTACATGTGATATTTTGATACATTCATATAATGTGTAATAATCAAATCAGTGTATTTGGAATATCCATCACCTTAAATATTTTATCTTTTCTTTATGCTGGGAACATTTCAATTATTCTCCACTAGCTATTTTGAAGTATACAATAGATTACTGTTTAGTATAATCACTCTACTGACTTACTGAACAGTGGGTGTTATTTCATCTATCTATTAATAACTGTATTCTCGTGCCAAAACCACCTCTCTTCATCCTCCTCTCCATCCTCCCCTTTTTGGCCTCTGGTAACCACCAGTCATCCTCTTTCTTAGCTCCCACAGATGAGTGAGAACATGCGACATTTGTCTTTCTGTGCTTGGCTTGTTTCACTTAACATAATGACCTCCACCTTCATATATGTTGCTATAAATGGCAGAATTCCATTCTTTTTTATGGTGGGATATTCCTTTGTGTATATATACCACCTTTTCTTTGTCCATTCATCCACTGTTGGGTACTTAGGTTAATTCCGTATTTTAGCTGTTGTGAGTAGTGCTGCAATAAACGTAGGAGTGTGGGTATCTCTTCGATATATTGATTTCCTTTATTCTGGATGTATACCTAGGAGAGGGATTGCTGGATCATATGGTAGTTTTGTTTTTAGTTTTCTAAGGAACTTCCATATTTTTTCCTTAGTGGCTGTACTACTTCACATCCCCACCAATAGTGTATGAGGGTTCCCTCATCCCTTCATTCTCACCAGCATTCATTAATACCTTTTTGATAAAAGCTCATTGTGGTTTTGATTTGCATTTCTCTGATGATTAATGATGTTGAGCATCGTTGTGTATCCTTGTTGATCATTTCTATGTCTTCTGTTCACACCGTTTGCCCATTTTTTAAACAGATTGTTTTATCGCTATTGAATTACTTATATGTTCTGGTTATTAATCCCTTGTCAGATGGATAGTTTGCAAATTATTTTCTCCCATTCTGTGGGTTGTCTTTTCACTGTTTGGATTGTTTCCTTCGCTGTGGAGAAGCTTCTTAGCTTAATGTAATCCCATTTATCTATTTTTTGCTATTGTTGTCTGTGCTTTTGAGGTCTAACTCAAAATAATCTTTGGCCAGACCATTCCTGGAGCATTTCCCCAATGTTTTCTTCTAGTAGTTTCATAGTTTCAGGTCTTAGATTTAAGTCTTTGATCCATTTTGATTTGATTTTTGTATATGGTGAAAGATAAGGGTCTAGTTTTATTCTTCTGCATGTGGATATCCAGTTCTCCCAGCATCATATATTGAATGGACTGTCCTTTCCCCAGTGTATGTTCTTGGCACCTCTGTCAAAAGTGAGTTGGTTGTAAATACATGGATTTATTTCTAGGTTCTCTATTCTGTTCCATTGGTCTATGTGTCCGTTTTTTATGCCAGTACCATGTTTTGGTTACTATAGCTTTGTAGTATATTTTGAAATCAGGTAGTGTGATGCCTCCAGCCAGCTTTGCTTGTTTACTTATTTATTGGAGACCAGAGACAAAGTCTCATTCTGTCACCCAGGCTGGAGTTCAGTGATGTGATCATAGCTCATTGCAGCCTCAAACTCCTGGGCTCAAGCAATCCTCTTCCTTCAGCCTCCCAAGTAGCTAGGACTACAGGCATATATCATCACACCTGGTTAATTTTTTAAAGTTTTTGTAGAGATTGACTCTGGTTGTGTTGCCCAGGCTGGTCTCAAACTCCTGGGCTCAAGCAATCCTCCAGCCTTGTCCTCCCACAGTGCCAGGATTACAGGCATGAGCCACCGCACCTGGCCTGCAACTTTGTCCTTTTTGCTCAGGATTGCTTTGGCTGGAGCTTGGGAAGAGGCGAGTGCCCAAGATGGAACCCTAGTGAGTCTTGGCATTTAAGGGGTAGGAAGGGGGCCATCGACAGACAGATCATGGCTCACACCTATAATCCTAGCACTTTGGGAGGCTGAGGTGGGGGGAAAAAAAAGACATCAGCCATATTAAATAAAGCACGTTAGTATTGAAAGCAAGAGAAAGGTATCAAGAAGACAGTATTCTTAATAGCATCTAGGAACTTATAAGAAAAAAGAAGACAGTGGTTGGTAGCCAGTGCTGCCTGAGTGTCAAATAACGTAAAAATGGAAATGAGTCCACTGAATTTGCAGGTAGGATGTGACCTATACCAGAGCAGTTTCTTTCAAATGGTGGGGGGTAGGAGGAAGTTAAACAAAAAGCCATGCTGCATCATGTTCGTGACCACTATTTCCTGAGTCCATAGAACTTTTTATCTGGGAGACCAAAAAGGTCAAGGAAAGTTTTGTCTCCAACTATTTTAAGAAACAAGACTACTCCAGTAGTTATCTATCTGAAGAGGCTTTCTACAATTTTCTTTCAGATTTACCATTTTAATGAGCCATGATGAGGCATTACGGCCAAAGAGAGAAAAATCAAACTGATTTAGCACGGGGAAGCACAACATACTGATGACTACCCCATTTCCCTGTTTGTTGTCTCAAAGTCCCAGTGTAATGGTAGGCAATCCAGCCCATGACATTTTTAAATAATCCTCTTGCTTGAAATAGGTATTATGGCAATAAAAGTTAATATAACCTGTATATAAGAATTTTGAAGGTCCTAAATATTCCTCCAAAAGGAACTTTGACAATGCTGTTTTAACAGTTATTCATGATAAACGCTAGAAATCTGTTGACCTGAAAAGATTTCCACTTAAAATGTTCCAGCTTAAACAAACTTACTGCTGTTCCAATCTTGCAGCCTTAACAAAGACCACTCCTTAAATCAATGGAGAACAAAAACAGCAGTAGGAATCTTCCCTGACCCATGCCTCCCCTTCATTTCCAAATTCACAAAAAAATTGACTTGCAAATTCGAGTTCTGGGGAAAATTTCATGTAGGATCTGAGTATGATCGGGCAGGGGAAAACCATCAGACATTGTTCTATTGAAAAATGCCAGGTTAGCATCTCTGGACAGACAGGATGTCAAGGTGTTTCCTGCAGTAATTATGTCTCTTTGCCAGAAATTGTCGAATCATCACTTTGGGAGGTGAAACTTTTGGTTTTCATTTTAAACATTACAGAATGAGCGAAAGAACCAGTTGGTATCATTAAAGTAGAAAATAGTTTATACCTGTATTCACATCAGTTACCAGAATTGTATCTGTGATTAAGAGCAGGGACTTTTGAGGCAGATGAAACTGTGTCAATTCAAGTGTTGTACATCTAGCAATTTCGTGCTAACAGTATTCCTCCACGAGATGACAAGCTATTTCAGACCTCATTTCTGTTGTTGTAACGTGTCAGGTTTCTGTTTCAGTAACCATAATCACCAATAGCTAAAGGAATACAACAGTCTACAATGAAAAGGCATCTGGGAAAGGCCAATAATTAATATCTATTTTTTGATATCACAGGGCACAATTTATGAAAGTGATGCCTTCTTACCTCTATCCAAGAATCATCAGAATACCGAGTATAATAAGTGTTTCAAAAATCAGTCAGAAAGGTCATTTTAAATTGTATGTTTAAGGCACATTACTTGACATGGGGCTTTCTAGGAACAAAGGAAGACATAATATAATTGACTTAGATCCTATTAAATTCTTCTTCTCTTTATTTGCAAGATAAGTTAACTTCAATTATTAATAGCCAAAAACTGCAGGAAACACCTATACTCTATCTAGTCAAATACACTTAATCTCTTTAGTTAATGATGTACCCAAAGTTTCTCTTGTTAAAAAAAATTGATCAGCCAACGATAAAACTCTTTTCTAACTGTAGCAAGTTGTCACTCTCGATTTCTATTTAACTATTCAATATAGCCTTGTTTTTGGTACCACAATTAGAATTTACTGAGGAATAAGAAAAGCTAAGATATTAATAGAAGCACACAGCGCTTGCTACATACTCAGCTGAAGTATATGACACTTAAAAATAGTATCCTTTCCTGAATATGAAGTTTGATTCACACATTTGCAAACATTACCACATTCAATAAGTTCTAAATTGTTCACTTAAAAAAGTGAGGGTAAGCAGAATTATTTTTTATTTCCTTGAAAGAATTCAGTCACATCTAAGACAACAAAAAGAACTTACTTAAAAATAAGCTTGTTTTCTTCAAGCTCTCAGGTGACTGGAAGAAAAAAAAATACTGTCTTCATAAGGTGCTGTCTGATGGTCCTCTGGCCAGGTTATTTAGGAACCACCACTTACAACTCAAACTGGTCTTCCAAAGGGAGTGATTTAAAAAAAAAGAAAAAAACGCAAGAAACATACAACTAATACAATTTCTCTTACTCTTCACTTTTCTTTTTATTATTCAAAAGTCAAATGTTATTTTTAAATCATCCATCCTCAATTTTGATTTAATGTACCGTCATTTCCCCAAGATATGAAATTTCAGAATCTCTTTGGAATACTAATTTCACGTGTCTAGGTTTAACAAAACTGTTGAAGTTTTAAATTCCACTCTATTTCCCTGAATTCTCAAAGACAGTTGCTGATGTAAATTTTAATATAAAATATTTAGTCACAAAATAGTATTGCTTTTGTATGCACATAGTTGTAAGATTACTTTGCTTTTGTCAATAAAAACTATACCATCTTTCATAAAACTCTAAACAAATTAAGAACTGTGATGTAGAACAAAAATTACACATGGTAAAACAGGTACCAGCACAACGTCAGGTTATATTACATCAAAAAAAGTTTTAATGGTCCCAAATATATATATTCAACAACTAAGCATACACTCAGGGGAGGAGAAAAAAATCAAAAACAAAATGAAACAAAAAAAAAAATTATGACACAATTGACCACATCTAGAATTCCACTCAATCTTTAATCAAGCAGGGACAAATCCCCACTTAAAAAAAAAAATCTGCAGTTTGAAGGGCAAAGGGAACAGATAAAAAAGAGGAAACTTTATATTCGCCCCTCCCCCACAGAGGTTTTCCAAACTTGTAGTTTGACTAAAATGTTCAGAATGTACGATTTTAAAGGCAGGTCTCTTTATACAAAGAAACTGCTGGCATTCTTAACTAGTGAAGAATTATGGCAGAAAGGCCCATTCTTCTGAGTCTTAAACATGGTCCAAGAAAGCGTATTCTGATTGTAGCAACTGACCAGTCAATCCAGAGTTCCACTTACAAAACCCCTGCCCTGTTGGCTTTTTGTTTCCATTTCCTTCCCTGAGAAAAGGGCAATGTGTGGTCCAAGCTGGAGAGCTCAAAGGCTTAAGTCTTCCCCCTAAATGTATGATATCCCCTCCTCCTGCTCCGTTCAATTGGCACTTGATGAGCAGAAGCCAAGTGTGTGAGGCTGATCGGCGTCAGTCATTCACAAGAGACCACTGCACTTTGTTGTGGATTTTGTAAGGGGGAGGGGTAGAGAAGCAGTTTTTTTCAACAGGTACTGATCGTAGGCAGTTGCTGCTATTATGAATCAAATTTTGCTTTCTTTGACAATGGTAGCGCATCTTCCTTGTCTTCATCCTCATCATCATCATCATCATCATCATCAGGATAATCTACCAGACCCACGAGGCCTCCCTGTTCAGAAATAAGGATTATTTAAAGAACAGAAAACAACACACTACATTTTAAAATACCTGTGTGTTTTGAGTAAAAACTTTTAAGTTACCTAAAATTAAAACAAAAATCTTTAGTTTATAAATCCTAGCAAATCACCCAGGAGAAATAGTACTGAATTAAAACATTTCAAGACTTAACAGCACATTAGTATCTTTTTAAAACATGGAAGTCTAAAACAGTATCAAAATGAAAACTGCAGAAGATAAACAGACCACCAGAAACGAGGGCAGAGAAGCTATCAGAGGTTAGAAAAACAATTCTAACATTGTCTCTTCCTCATTATTTCATCCCGGCTCCCTGGCCCTGCTCCTTCACCAGAAACTACTGCAGCTCACGTTATTTAGCTGGCCATGGAAAAATTGACAATGCTCTGCCCCTCATTTCAGCATGTCTCAGACTCACGTCTTAGTCTGTAGGAGCCTCCTGCTCACAGGACAGTCAAAGACTGTGGACTGGGCTTTAGATTCCTAATTTAGATCAGTGATCCCCAAATGCCAGTCTTTTAACTGATAGTCCAATAATTAATATGTTTTACACCTCAAAAGGAAAAAAAAGGCAGAATACAGCAATCAAAATAACTGGCTTTATTCTGAGATTGTCTTTTTTACATTTTTATGATTAAAACATTTCTTATATGAAATGTTAGTTATAGTACATGGCTAATTTTTTTTTTTTTTTTTTTAAACAAACCTTGCTTGGCAAAAGTATAGTTAGGAGTATCCAGATATTTAGGTAAGTTATCTTTCTCCCACAACGTCTCTACCTGGGTATTAACTGAGAAGTCGACTAAAGAATAATAAAATTTAAAATGTCTGTAAATGTCCTGACATAAAAATCTGAAGCTGTAATTCTAAAATGCAAAATACCAAAGTAAGAATGTATTTTGGGCCTTTTTGTTATGACAAGAGGTCTGTTTGCAAACATATCTTGCTCTTTACTCTGTAAACCTATCTTGTCCTTCCTCAATAAACTTTTGTTTCATGCTTGCAAAAAAAAAAGAATATATTTATTTGGATTTTTGCATTGGTCATAAAAAACTTTCAGAGATTTCTCAACATTTTGGTAAGTTCTGGTGTGATGATGGGGGCTCGTTATCTAGTTCACAAATGCTAAGTCAGTTCCAGAAGGCAGTAACCAAAGGGAGTCCCAGTCACATCAGTTATTGTTGAGAAAGCTTAACGGGGAAAAAGGGCAAAATCGGAGTCCTGGGAGTGAAAAATGTACCTTTGTAGTAATAGCTGCCGTCTGAGACGTATTTTTAGGGACGGATCCAGGAGAGCCTGGAGATCCTGGGGATCCGGGCGAGCCTGGAGAACCAGGCAGGTTTGCTGCAGATGACTGGCTGGTGAGGTTAGTCTTTGTTCCGCTGGACAGGGAAAGCTTGAAACTTGGGCTCTGCCGTCCAGAAAGATTTGTTTTCAGAAGCACCTCCTTTTCTTCACTTTCTTTTACTAAAAACGAGAACATTGTCAATAGTTGTTCGCCTATACTCATTCTTTTTTAAATTCCTCCAACAGGCCTGACACTAAAACACAGTTAACCAGCATACTCCTTTGCGGGGGAGAAACACCGACGTTCAATTTATGAACAAAGCTTATGAAAATACTAAATATCATTATATCCATTGGATTTTACTCTGAAGAAGAAATGAAACCTTCAGCATCATATTCAGTATTCCTACTCTTCTTCAAATACTATATCCTTACTTATTCAACTCAAATTAAGAAAATTTAGTCTATACCTTTACAACAGAGCTATTAATTCAGGCACATCCTATAAAGCAATAGAGTCTTTAAAATCTATGTCACCACACATTCCAAGTAGATACTAATCATTTTGTCAGGAAATAGAAAATAAACCTAGAGTGAGAAAGCCTTCATTTTTTCTTGCCCATTTTTTCAACATACATTTCTTCCTTTCCATGAATTTACTTATTGGATCCATAATATCATCATCGTTTTTAGTTTTGTCAGATGGAGATACTACAGCTTCTCCGTCTTCTATGTCATCTTCATCTGTGTTAAACCACATCTCTTCTTCATCTTCTAGTGTTCTGGCATCTCTTCGGTATCTATGATTCCTCAGAATGGAGCGCATACTATGAGTAAAGAGAACAAAGTAAATATATAAGGACTTTTATTTAGCTAGTCTTCAAATATTGCTCTAAAATTAGATATACTCTTAATAGGTTAATGGGGATGAACAGACATAAACACATACAGACTGATGGAAACCAGATTTTACCAAACATGAAATCAAAGAAACACACCCCACCATATCTACTACTAGTGGAATCAAACTCATTATCAAAATTGTACTGTTACACATCAATTATTCAACTGCTAACATTGGGAATAATAGTTTTCAGATTTGAAAATGTACTATTAATATAAATTCAGGTATTTAGAAAAACGCACAAGATTTTTTAGAATTTGTAACTTTAATAAAACGTACATTCAAAGCATAAAAGATAATACTCGATCTTATTTTGAAGACCTGAAGCCTCACTGCCACGTGTTTCTTTTTCAGTATCTAGCTTGATATATGCCTGAGGGTCTGCAGATCATACTAATATCCCCCCACACCTTCAGGAAAACTTTTATGTTGACCTTTACAGAAAACTACAACTTCTGTTCACTAGCTGCCTACTTCCCCCTTCCCTAACAAATAAACAAAAAAGCCGCCACCACACAACTGAGGTTGAGTGAACAGGTTCAAACATATGTGACTTACCTGTCAAGTTTAGGATTATCTTGCCTTTCTCTTTGTTGTTCAAATCTCAGTTTTAATCCTTTAAATGTCTGTACATAATCTACATCTTCCAGTGCTTTCCAGTAATTTTCAATTACATGAGCAGTTAATGATTTTATATCTTCCTACAGAAAAAAATTATAATGAAAAAATGGTAGTAAAATGTTATTTTACCAAGAGGAAGCTTAATTTAGCAAATTCATAAAACTCACCAAAAACAATTTTAGTTCGTAAAATTATTACACAATCGTAGAGATAATCAAGCAATGAAAATGGGAATAACATACACTGGCTACTACAGTAGTCTGAGATTTATCTATGAGTCTTTCCAAAGTAATTGCTGAGGTTCCACCCTAGGTGATTCTGACTCCAGAAGTCTGGGATGGGATCTGTACATATTTTTTTTTTTTTTTGAGACAGAGTCTCGCTCTGTTGCCCTGGCTAGAGTGAGTGCCACGTCATCCTAGCTCACAGCAACCTCACACTCCTGGGCTCAAGCGATCCTACTGCCTCAGCCTTCGGAGTAGCTGGGACTACAGGCATGTGCCACCATGCCCGGCTATTTTTTTTTTTTCTATAT